TTGCCGTTTATGAAGGATTAATAAGAACCTTTTTCCAGATTTTTCTGGGTCTCTTGGATGTGGCTGTGGTGGTTTCCTGTGGCTGTGGTGGTTTCCTGTTGCAGTGTGACAAATCACCACAGATTGGTCTGCCTAAAGCATGCCCAGTTCACTACTTTGTAATGGCTGGGCACTGAGCCTGGCTACATTCTAGCCATGTCCTCCGCCTCACCAGATAGAAGAGCAATGTGTTGACAGGGACTGTGACTGCATCTGAGACTCAGGATCCTTGTGGAAGCCCACTGACTGTTCGCAGAGTTAATTTCCTTATAGTGATATGTCTGAGGTCCCTGTTTCTTATTAGTAGTCAGCTACAGAAACCCTCAGCTCCCACAGGCTCCTTAGACCTTACCTTATGGCTCCTTTCCCAAACATGAATATTTGTGCTCTTCTGGGTCAGCAACAATCTCTGGTGTTTCTTAACCCTTTAAAAAGCTCACCTGAGGCTTAGCATGGTGGTGTACAACTTTAGTCCCAGCACTTGGGAGGCAGAGGCAGGCCGATCTCTATGAGTTCAAGTCCAGCCTGGTCTACATAGTGAGTTCCAGGCCAACTGGGGCTACAGGGAGACCCTGTTTCAAAAAGACCAAAAAAAAAAAAAAAAAAAAAAGAAAGAAAGAAAGAAAAAGAAAGCTCACTTGATTAGGTCAGACCTCCTATGCAGAATAACTTTTTAAAAAATTGTTATACAGGACTGCAGAAGGCCATAGTCTACTGCTCCTCCTTCTTCTCATCCCATCAGTCATCTTTGTTTCCAAGAAAGTTTGCTTCTACTTTCCTGTCATCAGTACACATATATTATGTATTTCTGTTCGGGCCCTCAGATAAGAGAGGGCATGTGCTACTTGTTTTTCTGAGACTGGCTTAATTCACTTAATATGATTATTGCTTGTTGTGTTCATTTTTCTGCAAACTATAATTTCATTCTTTATGACTAAAAAAAAAATCTATTGTTTGTATAAACTACATTTTCTTTATCCATTCCTTTGTTACTGAGTACCTAGGTTGGTTCCATAACTTAGCTGTTGTGAATAGTTCTGCTATAAATATTGATGTGCAGGTATTTCTGTGATATGTTGACTTAAGAGTCCTGAATAAATGCCCAGGAGTGGTATAAGTGGGTTATATGGTAAATCTAATTTTAACTTTTTGAGAAACTTCTATAATGATTTTCATAGTGGCCAGACTAGCTTACATTCCTACCAGCAACGTCCACATCCTGGTCAGCATTTGCTGTTTGTTTTCTTGGTGATAGACCCTTGGTTGATTTCATATTGTCAATAGTTCTAATATTAATACAAAAGTGCAGGTATCTTTAACATGGTTTCGTTTCCTTTGGGCGATAATCGGTATTAGGATTGCTGGGTCATATGTTCTGTTTTAAATTTTTTGAACTCTTATGTAATTGTTAGCTTCAGCTATCAACTTGACATAAGCCGAGAGTCACCTGGGAAGAAGGCACCTCAACTGAAGGATTTCCTCGAGCAGGTTAGTCTGGATCTGT